TGTGTGTGTGTGTGTGTGTGTGTGTGTGTGTGTTTTATACCTTGTGACAATCAGCCCCATAATAGATTTTTTATTCTATCAGGTGCAGACTCTGTGTATACATAGAAATTTGGTGAGAGGTCAGCAAATACAGTGTAGGTGTCCTGTTTTATGATCATGTAATCAATTTTGAAAAAATGTTTGCTGGCATAAAAAAATCTAAAGAGTAAAGCTGCATGTAATAATTTGTATTCATTACTGATGCTCATCAGGGAAACACAAAGACTTTAGATTTTAGATTCCAACAAATCTTCATTGAATGGTGAAGCTATTCACTGGAGTACTGATTAGCTAGTACGCAGTGATTTTATACCTCTTGATCGCTAATCTGGATTCTAGCTTGTTCCACAATACAGAGCTGCTTAGTTATAGGAGGAGACAAGCCATAGGCTTCATCTGTCACTGCAGTTAGTTGTATTTGTGAATTTAATCTCATCTAAATGGTAATTTCACTGTCTTATTTCCAGATATGACACAAGTCACACATGTTTATCCCTTTGCTCACTATAACTCTCTGTTTGCTTCCAGGGGCCCAGAAGTTGACTCTCACTGCTGAACCAGGAGCCACCATAAACATCAGAAATAATAATCAGGTCAAAGGTTGCGAAGTGTGTACAAGATCGATTATTAAAAAATGCAATGCTGAATCTCTGAATTATTTAAAAGGAAGTACTGTGGAATTGAAATGCTCCACACCTCAAGATGTATTCAGTATAGAAATTGTACGGCGTATAAGTAAGTGTCTGTGTGATATCTGATTATTTTATCAGTGAGACTGAATGTCCTGAGTGGACTAACACAGCATGGGTGGATTCAATTTCTCTTTTCAGCTTGCACCACGGAGTCATGCAGTGGCCACATCATCCAGGCTGACTTCAGCTCAATTGATGCGCTGCGTTTTAACCGCACGTTTACCTGGAATCTAGCGGCCGCAGCGCCAAAAGCTTTCCAAATAGATTTCACTAACACGGGTCTTAAACTGATTCATCCATCTGAGAAATGTCCAGACAGACACACCTACACCCTCCAGGCCTTCCAGTCTACGGGCAGTGCGGCTGTGGAGCAGTACTGCAGAAGTGGCACCATCAGCAGTGCTCAGGTTTTGAAAAGCGGCAGCTTTTCTGTGGACGTCCCAGCAGAGCAGAAGCTGCAAAATGACAAGTTTGATGTGACTGTGC